ATGTGCTTTGAAAACCATTTTTAGTGTTTACAGTTCCAAAAATAATCACTGATTGTCTCCAAAACTTTTGAGTGAATTTGTTATTTTTAATGTATTTTAATAGTAATAAATAAAAAAAATGACCTAATTATTTTTTAAATGTAAAAATTGTAATTTAATTTTCAATTATGAAAAAAATATAACCTTTATATTTTAGGAAAGGTGTCCTTGCAAGGGTATCATAATTGATGGGGGTTTTCCTTGAAAAGCTTTTTTTTTTTTTTTTTTTTGCTAATGTGTTTAAGTTGATGCATTACTAAAAACAGTCCGCCAAACATGTTCTGTCACCCTAGCGTCAGAGTTGTCTCCATGCGCCAGGAATAATCTATCTATTCATTTCCACCAGACATGCACTGTCACATTGAAGAATGGGAAAATGCTGGAAAGAGCCAATTGTATTTGTTCAGTAAAGGGCCTTCATTCCCTTAAAACCCAAATGCCCCTCACAAAGAAAGCAATAACCCTCTCCCGACATTACCATAAGTCTCTAAAGAAACTCATCTGGGAAATCAGATGTTTATTACCGTATTCTTGCATGAGAAGTCAAATCAGCTACGCCATTATGTTCTTGATTGGGCTGCTCACTTATTGGTTTGCTTTGTGCACATCTGTCTGGCAAGAACATTATTCTGCAGATGTGTTTCCAGTTGCACTAACAGACAATTTTATATCTTCATCATACTGAAAGGAGATGTCATAAGATATCTGCATTAAAAAAGGTTGAGGCTAGTGGCTTGCTTATGAATTTTAAGTATCGTCAGATTATTGCAGGTGACTGGAGTCGTCACACTGGAGAAATTCCAGCAGCAAAACTAAAACAAGCGTTTCTGGCTAAACAAATAAGTGACAATTAAAAATCGAGAATGAGAGCTGGATTTGGTGCTTTTTCACCAAACGTGAAACGCCAATGCTCTCACCCACAGCAAACAGCATTTAAAGGTATAGTTCACTCAAAAAATTTACATTTGCAGAAAATACCCTCAATCCATCCAAGATACAGAAGAATTAGTTTCTTCATCTGAACATATTTGGACGGATGCAGCATTCCATCACTTGCTCAGCAATGGATCCTCTGCAGTGAATGGGTGCCGTCAGAATGAGAGTCCAAACAGCTGATAAAAACATCACAATAATCCACACCACTCCAATCCATCAATTAATGTGAAGCGCAAGGTTAAATAAATGAATAATAAAATCCTCTATACATAATATTGCTTTCTCCAGGGAAAAAAAGTCATCTCATCTGAAAAAAATTGTAATGCAATCAAATGGCATACAAGAAAATTCATGCATTGTGAAAGAAATACAAGGTACAAGGTAAAAAATAAAAAGAAAGTTACACCCTCAGAAAAAGGGTACAAAAAGGGTAACACTTTATTTTGTTGTCCTTGTTACACGTTACACTTACTATTATAATAACAATAAATTATTCATAATTACATGCAAGTAACCCTAAGCCAAACACTAATTCTAACCCTAACCATAGTACATGTTGTTACTTAATATTACTCAGTACCTACATGTTTAATTACACTGTAACAAGGACACCTTAAAATAAAGTGTAACTAAAAAAGTGTACTTTATTTTCTGAGAGTATACAGTACAGCATCTAATTGTTGTTGATACTTCTTTTTTCAGGTCCATTCTGCCACACAGCTGGGCCTCTGCCCTCATTGTGACAGATTTATTTTCTTTTTCAGCTTGAATAAAAATGTAATGAGATCATAGTGTGTTTATGCCACGGTCTGCAGCATATAGCAAAGTATAAGAGGTCTTCTTCCTTATGAGCAAAGACAGAACGAGCCAAATGCTGCCAGACGCATGGTCAAGCCTTGAGACTTGCACACATATAAAGGGTGAATGCTGAGAAAAAAAGTTCTGGCAGCGTTGCATCATGTGAAGTGTTTGGTGGACAGGGCTGTCACTGACAACCAGTAACTTCATTTACACTAACAATAGAAATACAGCATGCAGAAAGAACGAGTGGATATAGAGTCTGCACATACTTTTTTTTTTTTTTTTTTGGTTCTCAGTTGTCACAGCCTTTTTCCAGCTTTATTTATTTTATTGTACTGTTGTCTTTTTTTTCACCCAAATTTTGATGTTACGTTATCTTTTGCAACCAAATAGCTGAGAAATATTACATATTTACTTAAGTTGAAACAGATTTGGGTGGATTTAATATACAAGAAAAATAAACATGAATCTGTGACAGAAGAACCCTGCTTTTATGCATGATTTTGGATGAAGATAGATTCATCTGCATCTCTGCACTACTTTTCTCAACATGCACTTTGATTGCCTTTTTAATTACAGTGACGATAAAAAAAAAGTTGGCCTCAATCCTCAGCATAATAAAATATTAGATTTTGGGTGCTCAGGGAATCCAGTTCCCTCTAAAGTGTACACTGCTGTCATAGCTTGTGTTGCTATCAACAGAGGGGAGAGAGGTGACAGGAACAATCACCATAAAAATTACCCATAGGATCTACGTGATCCTTTTAAGCCACGTACAATGCTATGGTGACTTGAAGTCGAGAGACGTTTAGTCTCAGAGGAGCGGGGGGTGTCGAGCTAAGATGATAGAGGTTGCTGAGCAGGTCTCTTGTTGCACTTTTAGCGGTACTGCACTTCACTGCCAGACACATCATTATGTTGGTTGCTGTTTTTCTGAATCAGCTGTAAACATTAAAAAAACATTTCTCATTGAATATCCTTTTTCATTGGAAAATAAATAATCAATTCAATGCATTTTAAATGGGTTGCAAACACTGCTGTCTTAAAAATACATTTCAAACGGTATTAAGAATAGAATAGTTCACCTAAAAATAAAAAAAATGCTGCAAATTTACTCACCCTCAGGCCATCCAATGTAGACGAGTTTGTTTCTTCATCAGAAATATTTAGAGAAATTTAGCATGCTCACCAGTGGATCCTTTGCAGTGAATGGGTGCCGTCAGAATGAGAGTTCAAAAAACACCACAATAATCCACAACATCACAAGTAATCAACACCACTCCAGTCCATCAATTATAGAGAAAAGCTCTTTGTAATAAATCCATCCTTAAGAAGTGTTTTAACTTAAACCTGTTGCTTCCGCCTAGTAAATTTTGCAGGTTAAATTCACAAATAATACATGCATAAACACGTAGGCCTACATACATAAATACAGTCTATTTCTTTAACAAAGAATACTCTCTCCCGTCTTTAGCCAAGTTATCACTGGAGTAAAAAGAGAATAATTTAAAACATAATATTTCTGAATAGCAGCCAACAGAGCTCTAGCAATGTCTACAAATATTAGACGAACAGATTAATAACAGAATTCTCTTTTGCCACATTATCTAAGTGCACACTGTTTCCTTCGCTAATTGAAAGATTGAAGAAATTAGATGAATGCATCTCCCAGTTTACATCCATCACAGGAAGATGCGAGCACCATGGCAACTAATCAAACACAGCAATGTTTAGTTTAGTCACTAGCTTGCAGCCAGTCCCTGTTCTTGAAGATAATGACTCCTTGATGCCAGCAAGCATCCATTCTCCAGTTTAATTAACCTTCAATATGTTACATGCATCCATGTTTCTGCTTTATTGTGGAGGCTGATACAATCTCAAGTGTTCCGGCTTTCTTTCTTGCACTAGTTTATTTGAACATGCCAAGTCTGCCCTCATGTGGTCTGTGAAGAAACTGAGGGCTGGATTGGTAAACTGATAAGATTATGGTCATTAATGTCCGTCAGAACCAATAGGAGGGTACAGAACGCCAATAAAACAAAACTAAGGTTTTGCATCATTTGTGATTGAATTATATGAATTATATGTGTGCAGATCAAACAGCTACACTAGCCTTTAGCTAAATTCGTTGCATTGTGCATAGTTTTGTCTTGCATGCCTTGCACTAGTTTATTTGAACATGCCAAGTCTGCCCTCATGTGGTCTGTGAAGAAACTGAGGGCTGGATTGGTAAACTGATAAGATTATGGTCATTAATGTCCGTCAGAACCAATAGGAGGGTACAGAACGCCAATAAAGCAAAACTAAGGTTTTGCATCATTTGTGATTGAATTATATGAATTATATGTGTGCAGATCAAACAGCTACACTAGACTTTAGCTAAATTCGTTGCATTGTGCATAGTTTTGTCTTGCATGCTTTTTTATTAACAGATGTGGGTTTTTAATAAAGCCCCTGTGTGTTCTCACTGTTCCAAAGCAACGTCTGCGGTTGCTCTTTAAGTGTTTAATAATTAAAAACTGCTTGGTCAGCTATCTGTTTTGCTTAACACACACAAGGCTTCTTCCTTTAATTTAGTCAGTGGTAGGAATTGCACACACAACTAACAACTAACTAACTAAAATAAATATATATATGTTTTTAAGTTTAGATAATAGACAGACAACAATATCAAATAAACCAGAATTGATTTTAGCCTACAGCTGATCTTAGCTACAATTTGAGCAAGACAACGTCACTATTTATTCATTCATTTATTTATAATAATGATGTTTATGTTTTGGTTATGAGACTGTGCATGGCACTCGCCTGTGATTTCCGTGATTAGCGTCTCTGAAAAATAAATAAATTAATCGCACTATTAATTTTGGTCCCTCAGGAAGATATGTCTCTCTTTTATTATGCATTGCAGTTAAAATATATGTTCACATACGGCGATATTATTTGCTGGCATAGTTATTATTTAGTTAATATTAATAATCTATAATAATACTGTTCTGTTGTAAATATATTTCATACATAACTAAATATGAAGCCTGTGAATTGTTATTAATGCTCAATCATCTTCAATTTTGATCTTTAATTGAGTGTTTGACAATAAAGCAAGACTTATACTACTATACATGCAACTGTGAATGTTCCTACCTGCTCTATTCTAGATTGACACACCCAGATTGTTTCTCTTGGCCAATGGGCTGACAGCGTGGGCGGAGCAAGATGTTGAGATGTTGAGCAAGATTCCTCTCACCAGGAATGAGGTGGTGGGGATGTTGGTGAGACTCACCGTCTTTGGAGCTGCAACATATTACAGCATCAAATGGGTGGTGGAGGCCTTGGATCCGGTACAAAAACAAAAATCCCAAGCCAAGAAATGGGTAAAGATATCTCTGCTACTGGATGTGTGCTCAAAGTAAATGTAATTCCAGTGAAGAATGCATTTAATTTAAATACAGCTTTTCATGGGAGCCTGTAGCTCAAAGTGCTAATTTAATTACTATTTATTTATTTACTTTTATATTTTATTAAAGTTCTATTTTGACCCCTATAGTAGGTGTCTTTTTTTTTTACATCCATAATATTTGGGGGAGGGTGCACAACAATACAATTCTGCTTAGGGCACCCATTTGGCCAGCAGCGCCCATGGCTTAATAGGACTATAAAGATTTCAAGTTAGGTTCAACAAATTTTTATTGACCTTTATTTATTGTGCCTTATTATGTGGTATATTTATTTATACCATTTATCATGTTCCCTCGCTGTCCTCGGGCTGAGCGGTTGATGAAGCAGATCATCAACGTAGAGGGTGTCAGTCTGACCGAGTATGAAATGAACATCGCAACTCATCTCGTCGATCCTCGCAGCATCAAAGTAACCACCAGTGCTGTTGCAATCAGTGCAAACCATTCATCAAATCACCCTGTGCCTCTCATTACATCAGAAGTCTGAAGAAAGACATGCTTTTGTTAGTGAAGACATGATTTATTTATGTCATTGGTTGTCATTTTACACTTTCTGTTCAACTGATTTCCAATTGAATTGTGTTGATAGATTGAAAACCTGTAATCATTGCAGCCTGCCAAGTGATTAGTAGCTTTAGTAGCTAATATCTTCTTCCTTTCCTTGTAAGGTGACCTGGAGAGATGTTGCTGGACTAGATGAGCTCGTCTCAGAGCTGCAAGACACTGTCGTCTTGCCTTTCCAGAAACGCCACCTGTTTCGTGGTTCCAAACTCTTGCAACCTCCCAAAGGTCAGACATGGAGAAAGCATTTGATATCAGTTCTTTTGGACCCCATTCTGTTCTTGTTGTACATTAGGGCTGCATGATAAATCATGTTTCAATCGTGATCACGATCATTGCTTCTCTCACTTAAATAGGCATAATCATCTGCAATATTTACCCAGTGGTTTATTTATTCTGATTATTTATGCATTACATTACATACAAGTGTTCATGCTTGGGGTTGCCAGATTATTATTATTATTATTTTTTTTTTTTTAAATGAATGCATTTTTTGTCCAGTGTTAAACTTAATGGACACAGTCTGGCAACCATGTGCACACTCTCTCAGAGGAAAAAAGCACTAATAATATTAATAATCTAATAATAAAAAAGCAATAATAATCTGAAAACGCCAGATAGCATGTTGAAGTTTAGCGATCTCTGTTGAGAAAACCTGCTCAAATGAAAGTATAATGAAGCAAGTCTGTACAGCCCTATTACACATGTAGTAGCAATATATGAGAAATATCAAAGCAAAGATTGTTGTTTATTCATATTTTTTCCCCTGATTCCCAGGTGTACTATTGTATGGGCCACCGGGATGTGGAAAGACTTTAATTGCCAAAGCAACAGCGAAAGCATCTGGATGCCGCTTTATTAATCTCCAGGCCTCCACTTTGACTGACAAGTGGTACGGCGAATCGCAGAAGCTGACTGCTGCTGTGTTCTCACTGGCCATCAAGATTCAGCCCTGCATCATTTTCATTGATGAAATAGGTAACTTCTGAATATGCTCTAAACGTCTGCCAGATATTTAGGGATTCCAGACAAATACGAAAAATATTACAATGCCAGCTTGTTGAACGTGCTGAATAATTTCACTCAGCACTACTACAGTGATAAACTTGCCTGTAATCCCTGTGTATACGCAGGTGTTTTATATTCATGGGTTTTATGGAAAACGGGGTGTGTACATTTGCATAATGACTGCAATGTTTTCAGTGCTCAGTCTAAGAATGTGGACGCCTGAGTCTCTCAGGCATTTTATCATAGTGTACTAGCTGAAACAGCAGTAAAAGTTCATTATTTTAATTAGTTATGCTTCTTTTAAAGTCAGTACCGCATATTAAATCACAGATTCTGAAAATGTGAAAACTAAGACTGCAAAAAAGTTTATAGTTGTTGATAAAAAACGCTAAATAGTTGTACTTAGGGGTGTGCGATATGACTCGACGATCTGCTTTTGAAGAAATATCGTGGTATCGTGCTATAGCCCACATTCTATCTGTTACAGTTCTGGCGCCTCCGTCTCAAGATACTGTACAACGCCACATACATTCTCATCAAATGTTAACTCAGCGGTAGAGTTACTCTCACGGGACACTGCACTTATTCGCAATCATAAAAGTACATTATTTGCATGTGCTTTAAAGCCTTGCCGGTTAAACGTTTCATTCACGCACTGTTCTGACCTGCGCTTTTTCTGAGCCTGAAGCGCGCGCACTAAAAAGCCTGTCAAACAGCACCTGATTTCTGAACTAAGTTATCTTTTGAGCTAATACTGTAAAAACACACAAGGTTTACATAGACTGAGTTGGTTATGTCTAAAATGAAAGTAAACTAAAAAACGGATGCGTGCCTGTATATTAGATGCGTGCAGCTCTTAAAGGGACAGTACTAAACATGCAGCCGACTGTCATTATACGGAACTTATGGATAGTTCACCTTAAAATTTAATTTCTGTCATTATTTACTCACATGTTGTCCCAAACCTGTAGCTATTCATTTCTTTATTGTGCTGAACACAAAAGAAGATATTTTGAAGAATGTAGGTAACCAAACAGTAGCTGGTCCACATTGACTTTGATAGTAGGAAAAAAATACTATGGAAGTCACTGGGGACCAGCAGCTGTTTGGTTTTCCACGTTCTTCAAAATAGCATTTATGTTCAGCAGAAGAAAGAAACTCATTCAGGTTTTAAACAACTTCTGAGTGAGTAAACGATGGTATAAAAATAAAACACTATGACAGAATTGACAGACAGATGACAGAATTTTTATTTTGGGGTGAAATATTGCTTTAATGTTAATAAAACAACAAAACACTAAGAGAAAAATCACTACTCTTGACTGAAAAACTTTAATACAGTTGCTTTATCTATATAGTGTTTTATTCTTATATTTGTTCATTCAATTTCTTGAATACTCCTGCTAAATACACCTATTGTACCTAAAAATAAAACACTTTTTGTTTTATTTGTATATTATGTGTATTTGTAATGTGTATCTTTGTGTGTATCTTTGGTCTTATTTTTTAATAACAAAGATAAAATAATGACAAAGATTTTTATCTTCGCCCACTTTAGCCTAAATATCCGCCATTCCTTTTTATATTTTGTTACCTTGAAAGGCTTTGTCTTTATAATAGGGAAATTAGTTTGGCTGTAATGCTCAGACAACTTGCAAAATAGTAAAACCAACACGACAAAGAATCGTGATAAAATTGTGATATTTCTGAAAGAAATTGTGATATGAAATTTTTGCCATATCGCCCACCCCTAGTTGTATTGTATATAATCTTATGTAACTGTAAAGTATTATTTTTTTAAATAATATGTGATTTAAATATACCATTTAAAAAGTTTGAGGTCAGTGAATTTTTCTGAAACAAATAGCTGCTTTTTTCCAGCAAGAATGCATTAAATTAATAATAATGTTACAAAATATTTCTATTTCAAATAAATGCAGATTTTTAAAAAAACTTTCTATTCACCTCTTCAAAACATGTATCACAGTTTCCACAAGTATATTAAGTGGAACTGTTTTTAACATTGATAATAATAAGAAATGTTTCTTGAGCAGCAAATCAGCATATTAGAATGATTTCTGAAGATCATGTGACACTGAAGACTGGAGTAATGGCAATTTCATTATAGGTATAGTTATGTTTTAAAATAACAGTTATTGTAAGTTGTAATAATATTTCACAATATATTACTGTTTTATTGTATTTCTGATCTCAAAAAAAAAAAGGGGAAAAAAAGCAGCCTTCACTGACCCCAAACTTTTAAACAGTACTGATTATGTAGTTCTGTAGTTTCCTCATTGCTAAATACTATTTAAATTTCTTGTGATTTTGGGTTAATTTTATAGTAGACTTATGACATATATATCCACATAAAATCTGTCTCTTGCATCAGATTCGTTCCTGAGGAATCGTTCCAGTATGGACCATGAGGCCACGGCTATGATGAAAGCCCAGTTCATGAGTCTGTGGGACGGACTAGACACAAGCTCAAGCAGCCAGGTAGCGCACACATACCGTATGTAGGTTTCAGAGGTCACTGCACTTCCTCAAAAGTGATTAATAGGAAGTAAAAGTGTAATGAGATGTCAATGTCCAGGTAATGGTGATGGGGGCCACTAACAGACCTCAGGATGTGGACGCAGCAATACTGCGCAGAATGCCCACAACCTTTCACGTAGGCCTGCCTGTGAGTCTGCTGAACACACACCTTTACACTCTGTATTTGTTAATTGCCTGTCTTAATCAGGACAAGACATAATTATTTTTGGTCCATTTTCAGAATGCAGCTCAAAAAGAAGAAATCCTTAGACTCATTCTGTCTGGAGAAAATGTAAGATATTAAGCTCTACTTCATCTGCACCGCAATTCCTTCACAAAATGTTTTGTCTTTAAATGTAATGCTTACATTAAAGGTGAAGGGGCAGAAAAAAATGTACCCTTATGACTGGTTTTGTGGTCCAGGGTCACATATTTACACTGCCATTCAAAGGTTTGGGGTCAGTAAGCTTTTTAAATGTTTCTGAGAGTCTTTTATGCTCACCAATACTGCATTTATTTGATCGAAAAAGCAATTTTTAAATTACCTATTCAAATTTAAATTAAATTAAGTAATTTATTCCTGTAATGCTAAAGCTGAATTTTCAGCATTACTACTCCAGTCTTCAGTGTCACATGATCCTTCAGAAATCATTCTAATATGCTGATTTGCTGCTCAAGAAACATTTGTGATTATTATCAGAATAATATATATAAGTTCAAACCAGTTGTGCAGTTTAATATTTTCTATGGAAACAGTCACACATTTTTCAGGATTCTTTGATGAATATAAAGTTCAAAATAACAACAATTATTTGAAATATTTTTTATATAGCATTACAAATGTCTTTACTGCCACTTTAGATCAATTTAATGCATAATTGCTGTATTAATTAGTTTTGAACGAATGTGTGTACATAAAATCTTTTACTTGAATCTTTTTCCATCAGTTAAGTAACGCGATTAAACTGAAGGAAATAGCGGGTCAAACTGAGGGCTACTCCGGCAGTGATCTGAAAGAGCTGTGCAGAGACGCCGCCATGTACCACGTTCGAGACTATGCCCGCAAACAGCAGATGAAACAGATCGCACAACAACTCCAGCTGGATGAAGAAGAGTACGTCTAAGATAGCATTTTATCTGTGTGCACAACATGCAGCTCTCATACTATGTCCTGACTAAGGAAGTTTATAATATCTGGAGAAAATCGTCCCATTAATCTCAAGTAGTTTCTCAGCTGGTCCATCGTCCTATTTAGAAGAGAAACAGTTCAAAATATTCTCTCGAGTTTTGAAATGCTGTATAAATATGCAGTAGTGAATGTAAAAGTAGATTACTCATGACTGATTCTGTCCTGGTGTCCTCTGGTGTGTCCTCAGGCATGTGGACAGCACACAGCTGAGGCCCGTGACTCAACTGGACCTGCTGTTTGGCCTAGATAAGATGAGAGAGTCCAAACAGGCCACAGCTACAGCTGACACAGCAAATCTGAGAGAGGTGCCTCTGGACTGAAAACCTCTCGCTTTACACTCTCATACGCTCATTTTCTCTCTCTCTCTCTCACACTTCTTTCTTTCTGCCTCATCTTTTCCCTTTCCTTTTTAAATTCTCCATCTTTCATATTTCTGTTACACATCAAACCTTAGAATTTGCACTATAATGAATTTCAGTCAGATACTCGAGACTCGTAACTATGTGCATATTTATAATAACAGTAATCGGTAATAATAGACACACTAAATGGAGTTTCATTATTCTTCCGTATTAAATTATTGTTTTAATTATTTCTGCCATGTCATCTGTTGTGCGCATATTGTTCAGAAGCAAATGTCGAACCACTTTTTTGGATATGAGAGAGAGGAATACGAACTTTGCTTTGTCTCTAAGTCCCGGTTTCACAGACAGGGCTTAGACTAAGCCAGGATTAGGCCATAGTTCAATTAGGACATTTAGGTCTTTTTTATAAATGTGCTTAGAAAAAAACATTACTGGTGTGCTTTTTGAGACAAAAGAAAGGCACTGATATATTTTAAGATCAGTCAGTGCAAGTTTCTTTTAGTTGAAACAGCTCAGACTTACATTTTAGTCTGGGACTAGGCTTAAGCCTTGTCTGTGAAACCAGGGGCAAATGTTTTAGTAATTTAATTAAGTGTTTTAATTAAGTGTTGTCTAACTGTCTTATTAGGAAGCATGAGTGTTACTCTGAAGTTAAACTGAATGGTGCATGTGTGACCTTCGTCAACACCAATTTAGCCATGATAAAAATCATTTGTGTCAGGAGCATGTCTGGGTCATATTCAACCCAAAATCAAAAGAAAAAAATATGCATAAAAAATTAGGCCATACATTTGTTTCTTTTGCATTATGACATTATTTTCATTACAATTCATCTCAAATGTTGTGGGAAAAAAATGGGATGTATTGATATATTATTTGTGTTTTGAGGGTTTCATATAGACTATATAGACAGTTTAGTGGCCACTTGAAGTAAAGTTGGACACAGGGAAAAATGGTGCTAAATGTATCTCTACAAAGAAGACTTTTTTTCTTTTTTTTTTTTTGGATAGTGAAAGACGTTAAGCATCTTCATATATTGATGTTCAGATGAGTCTGAGTGTGTATAGAAAGATTGAGCTTGGAACATAAATATATCACTCAAAGTGTCAAACCAGCAACACGATACGCATTTATCAGGTACTGAAATGGGCACAAAGGCCAACTTCTTTCTTAAAACTACCAGTTTCGTCCGTCCTCACTGAAGTTTCTGGCCTTTCACCAGCTCTAAATGCAACATTTTTGCTCTTGTCAAACCACTCCAACGATTTAAGCAAGTGTTTCCTGTTTGATGATTACTGTATGTGCTACAAGCCAAGTCTCCATGTGTTACTTTGATAATGGAAGGAGGGAAATTGTGTCTGGCAGCTTGCTTAACGGTCCATCAAGCATTGCAAATAAATGTCTTCATTTATTCAGATTCATGATTTTTTCAGTGACTTGCCAATGTGACATATTTAACATGTAAATGTGCTTGTTTGGTAAACTGTGCCCACACTAATTCCATGCTTGTAGGGAGATTTGGCTTCCTTTCGCCCTTTGGCACCAGATTACACCTTTAATGCTGCTCTGTTCTGCTTTGAATGTGTGTTGTTCTGGTAATCAGGTACTAGGTTGTTTTATAATGAGATAATCAAATCTTCTGCTTCTGTTATCATATAAATTTTGGTCATAAAGGAATAGTTCACCCAAACATGAAAATTTGCTTCCAAGATCCTTCCAAAATGTACGAGTTTGTTTATTCATCGCATTACACATATAATTTTTAAAAGAAATTTAGCATTACATCACTTACTCACCAATGGGTCCTCTGCAGTGAATGGGTGCCGTCAGAATGAGAGTCCAAACAGCTGATAAAAACATCACAGCAATCAACACATTTCCAAAAGCTGCATGTTTATAATAAACAATTCCATCATTAAGATGTTTTTAACTTCAAACCATTGTCTTCTATCCGTAAAATTGCTTTCTCGAGTGAAAAAGTTGTCTCATCTGAATCGGGAGAGAAATATGCAAATATTAAAGTTAATTAAAGTTAAACGCCTTAATGATGGATTTGTTTTTTTACAAACATGCAGCTTTTTGCTTCACAAGACCTAATTGATGGACTGGATTATTGTGATGTTTTTATCAGCTGTTTGGACTCTCATTCTGACGGCACCCATTCACTGCAGAGCATCC